GCCACTTTTCACCCACTCATTGCTATTAAAATACATTACGGACTCGCTGCCGTGTTTAATAATTTGAACCTGATAGTCCGAAATGCTCATATGTTGCTCGAAGAAATAGTTTTATTTGCCCAGGTTTTCACAAGCTATGGAAGGGTAAAATCGTTTGTATTACACTTAAATGAAAGTACCACCTCTTTGGTTTTGTATATTATTAAACCATTCTATACATTCGCCGGTAAACCGCCACTTGTTAAAATTTGCCTAAGGACCTCGCAAATCTAAAATATTATTTTCTGCTTTTACCGAGCTCCGTCTTTGATGGGTTTAATAGAATATACGTTTAATAGAATGTAGGTTTAATAGAATATACGTTTAATAGAATGTAGTCGGGTCTATTCTCGAAATTTGATTGGTGGGTCTTTAATTGTGCAGAATGCATCAGATTTTCGGTATTTTTCAACTTTTTTTTTTATTTTTAAATCTCTATCAATAATCATCAGAAGCTTTATAGAATTTAATAATTCCATCGTACATAAGGTTTTGGAAACATTGGGCGTTATTTTAGATGAATTATTCTACATATCCTCCCCTCTGTCTGTCTCTCACTCACTGACTCACTATATATATATATATATATATATATATATATATATATATATATATAGAGAGAGAGAGAGAGAGAGAGATTACTGCTATAAATGTTATATATTCTGGTACAAGTGTTTGAGTACAAACCCCTGCTTTTAAACAGTGAAATTAATGTCTACCAGCATATAGATCGAATGTTATAACAAAGAAGTAGACATTAATTTCACTGTTTAAAAAACAGAGATATTGATTTAAAGACGTGTACACCAAAATATGACGTACATTATATATATATATATATATATATATATATATATATATATATATATATATATATATTAGGAAATGGCTTAAATCCGGACATATCGTTATTTTAATTCATTTTGTTTAAAAGTTATTTTTTAATGGCCACTAATATTCGAGTAGAAACTCCGCTTTTTAATTAAACATTATTTTTTAATTAAACCGTATCTTTTATCCAACTATATCTACCGACATGAAAATTCGAGAAATCTTGAGGAGGACGCATATTTTTCTATAAGATTTCTCGAATATTCAGGCTGGTTGATATAGTTGGATAAAAATACTATAAAATATATATATATATATATATATATATATATATATATATATATATATATATATGGACCCGTCTTATTTGATGAGTGTCTTGCAGCTCAGTTCCTAGGAACAGACAGCCACACACCAGCGCATATAATTTGATTATAGTGGTGAAGGCTTTATGCAGAACTGACCACACTTTTTGAAGAGCCGAATACAGAAACCTGGTTCACTAAGTGCTACAAGGTCCCCAAACGACATAACGCAGCGAATTCAGAGAAATCCTAAATCAGTTGCCATCCAAGGCTATAGAACCCAGGCTGCCCTGCTATTTAGCCATAGCTGGAAGGGAAAGAAGAGGATTAATTCCTTTTTAAGGGTATTAGCACGTATAAGGATCCGGCTGGAATTCGAACATATATTCCATATTTGATAGATTCACTTATCGTTCGGTTCACAGCCTTCTTCTCTATTTTGAAAAAGAGTAGAAGTTTTACCACTTGTTTCTCGTTTATTTTTAATGAATAATAATTTATTAATGTTTATTAATACGAGAGAGAAACCCTATTAAGAAAAAAGATACACGCTCCAGAATATTTAGGCCGGTAGACGAAAATAAATAAATAAATATACATTTTATGAAGTAAACCGAGCATCAACTCAAATATAAGTATCCACTAAAAATGACGTTTAGAGTGAAAAAATCTGCTTGGATTAATAAATAAAAACTCCATTACTTCTTTAGAAATATATATATATATATATATATATATATATATATATATATATATATATATGAAGTTTGCATATTATTTATATACATATATATATATATATATATATATATATATATATATATATATAAAATAATATGAAAAACTCATGTGCGTGTGTGTATAGTATTATTGATGTAAGAAGTACTATTTAGTAAAGTTTTATGTTACCAAACATAAACCTTAGCCGTTTTTATATAAGTCCTCCATTCTTCATATAATTACTACTTGATTTCGGGAGCAGGCAAAACAAGAGACCGATGCTAAATGATTTCTCACTCATCACCTCATCGACCTGAGCCACTAGCAGCGGCTGAGACTCACGAGCCGCAACCTACGCGCCCCTTCCACGGCAAATTAGTTTCAAAGAAAGGAAACGATGAACTTTTCCACATGAGTCGTTTTCGTCCCTACACTTGACTGGCTTTAAATAAAATGGAAATGAAAACAAGTATTTCGAAAGGAAAGGGACTAAAAGAAGGAAAACAACAGAAAATAGGAAAGGTGAAAAAAGAAGGAAGGCAAATAAAAGTTATTTAAAAGAGAGTCTAATGACTTCGGGTTAGAAATTTGAGAGTTGTTGCTTCATGGTGCCTTTAAAATGGACGAAAGAAAGGAGAATCGTCTAGCTTCAGTAACTACAGACTAAATCAATAACAATAAAGATGAATTACTTTCATGTGTTTTTATATATATATATATATATATATATATATATATATATATATATATATATATATATATATACGAAAAGAAATCACCAAGTTGGAAGCTTAATTATTAAAAAGTATTTATTTTGCACAAGCTGGGAGTGGGCTGAAAAGTTCATAGGCTGACTATGAAGGGGTGATGCTAGAACTGTGAAATCTTGCATGTTTAAATTTTAACTCTTCTTGTTAATAAATGCATTGTTTCTTTCCAAGTAAGCTGATATCTGATTGTTCAAAGAAGACAGTTCATCGTGTTGGTCAAAACACTCATCAGCAGATATGATGCCGGCATCACAGCGATGCTGGTTTCTTAGTCAAGTGGTTTTTTTTCATGTTGACAAATAGATAATAGTCAAATCAAGAGAACATGGAGGTTGATCAACCAGATCAAAACTACAGTCACCAAAGATTGGAAGAAGAAGAAGATCGATTGTATTTGGGAAAGGAAAATAAAAGAAAGTTAAACAGCTATAGCTATTTCTTTAACACCAATACACCGAAGGTTATTCATCAGTATGAACGGATTTTATTAAAAATTAGCAGACATAATGTCTGTAATTTATTCAATCATATATATATATATATATATATATATATATATATATATATATATATATATATATATATATATATACTGAAATAATTGTACCACTTATTGATACACGTAAAATTGTATAATTCAACGTATAGGAGCGCAAACAGAATTTCGACTAATAAAGTGTTGAATACTTATTGGTTCAGAAGTTATTATATATTATTAATTGTAATAATAAATACAATTATTTTTGTCTGGTACGAAACAAGTTTAGAATCAGCAAAAGCTGAGACAACTTCCGGTAATTACTGCGAACTTTAATAATTAACTTCCTGTACCTTTTCTATAAATACTTTAATGGTAATTGTCTGAGTGAGATCTTTGCTATGGTGACTAGTCTCTGTGAATTTAAGCGCAGTATTAGATTGAAGACACGGTCACGTCAATGTACAGTCAATCTACGTAAATTTTATGCTAACAGTTTCTTTTATCGCACGTCTCACTTCCGGCTCCATAGTTTCCAGTCAACTTTAATCTGAAATAATTTAAATGCAATGTCAATCGCTATCTACTGTCCTCCTGATTACGGTGTTTACTCATTCCCCCACGAGAATGAGATGTGACACAAGGTCGGTTTAATGTGGGGACCCGAGTGTGTACCCCCGGGGCAGGGACAAAAATTCCCCTCAGCCCCCGCAACCGTCGGTTGCGCTGGCCTCGGTGCAAGCACCAATCCCTCCCTCTGGTGCAATGGGAGGGCACGGCCTTGGGCAGCTGTTCCCCAGGGCTGGGCACCTCTTCAGTATTATTTTCCTCAGTTGCCCCTCTGTCCTTTGACAGAGAAGCCCCTGAGCGCAATCTGTCCAAAGACAGAGACGCAACTGAGAGATGATAAGCCTGCATTAAAATCCCTCCAAAGAGGAATTTATATGCTCTGTCCTCCTGATTACTCTTTCGGTTCATAATTAATGTTTCTGTTCCTAATTCTTTCATACCCTGTAAATTCTTATGTCTTAGTGGCTTTACTTTTTTGCATTGGGTGATACCAATTAATATATATATATATATATATATATATATATATATATATATATATATATATAAGTTTGCGTTTAAGCATAAACAGACTGTCGTTGTTGAATGTTGACTTCAGTGTGCATCTTGATCCCTGTCCCTTTTTAGTCCTTTCCCCACCATTCCCAAGTCTCAGTTTTCTCATTCTCTTTCACTTTCACTTTCATTTCTTTGATCCCCTGTCCCTAGTTTGTCCATTTTGTTGTGAAAAGATTAAAAGAAAAAAGAAATTCCCAAGTCTCCGCCATTTTGATTATTTTTTCTTTATGACACCTACTCCAGAGTCATTTCCACTGTTGGATTTGATTCTTTTACATCCCTTTTTAAAAACCCCAGCGTTAAAAAAAATATTCTCAAGTGAACTGATTTACCAAACAGACGTGAGTAACGGGAAAGATACAAAGGCATGATGGTCTTTTTTTCTGAAAGTGAACAATAGAATCTATTAACAAAATAACATAAAGTCACCCAGGCGACTATTTTTTCGAAATAAAAAATTCAGAACCAGTGTTGAAGAAAAACGACAGTGTAATTACTTCCTGTTGTCAGTCTTTTACCTGCAGACGCTGTAGCAGGACTTGACTATCTCTGTGTGAATGTGAAAAGCCCTCGGAAATATTCGTTCACAAAGCCAAGGCACGATTATATTCAGATCTGTTCGCTTTAACAGGACGAAAAACTGAATCAAATTATGAGTTCACTTCGTATAACAGAGTTGCCATGAGTCCGTTCTTCTCCACACCCGTCTACGTATATCACTGCCTTTAGAGACTCAATCACGTGTGTACTGCCGTCACTTGTAGTCTCTTTGCTAACTCCTACTTTGCACTCCTCCTCCTTCTCAGCTTACTCTCGTATTTATCATTCCCCTTTTCTCCGTTATCTCTCTGCCTTTCCCTTTCTCCTACCTTCTTTCACACTGCTTTTCCTTTTATTCTTCAATCTTTCTTCCACTCCTTATGTATCTGCAATTATCTTTCTCACTCTCTCACTCTCTTTATCAATGTCAGTATCTTCATATCTACTTCTGTTTTCTCTCCTTATCCACTTCATCTTCCTTAGCTTCCACGTTTTCTTTTATATTTCTCATTCTCTTCTATCTATCTATCTATCTATCTATCTATCTATCTATCTATCTATCTATCTCCTCCCTTTTCTCCCTGTCATTATCATACAGACTAATATCAATCTAACGATAATGATAAGAATCTATTTTAATAAACCTTCAAACCGTTCACTCGGCCCTGATGTCGATCCAGATTTAATAAAGCAAACAAAGTCTATTGATCTGCTTATTGGCAATCGATCATGACATCAAGATATACAAGATTGATTTTCACATGGCTGAACACACGTTTACGTAGATGTGCATCTTAGAGGATCTATTTATGCTAGCTATATACTCATACATACGTTGTTTGAACAGACTGAGAAAGAAAGAAAGAAAGAAAGAAAGAAAGAAAGAAAGAAAGAAAGAAGTGAAGCCACTGAGACTGGCCACTCTGAGTTTTGGGACAATCACTCTTTCTTAGAGAAATATCCATTCAAGACATCACTATTCCAACCACCTCTTTTATTAAATATTCATTAAATTTCCTCTCTTCCATTAATTTGACCTACGAGCATTCTGTGACAAAGTGCTTCATTACTGAAAATTACATTTTTTAAATAGTTAAAAACTTATTTTTGAAAATTCCATCACTCCTTTTATTTCATTCACGCGCCGATTTGAAATAGATAGATAGATAGATAGATAGATAGATAGATAGATAGATAGATAGATAGATAGACATGAACAAACTGAGATAGATCGAAGGGCAGATGTGAACGGACTACCATAGATAGAAAATCTGATTTTTAGTCTATATAATGGTCCCCTTGTTTTATGTCCATGTCCGTACACTTGTAATTGCATCTGAGTAGATAAGCATGATATTCAATGGAGACACAAAGTCATACATAAGTTTATATATATTTATTTTATTAGTTTTATATATATATATATATATATATATATATATATATATATATATATATATATATATATATATATATATATATATATGTGTGTGTGTGTGTGTGTGTGTGTGTGTGTGTGTGTGTGTGTGTTGGGGTGGCATCCGCTAAGTTTCGAGAAATCTTGGATCTGCGCCCAACGAGTTATGCCTAAGCTGCTGATGGCGGTGTGGCATCTATTATGGCTGTACAGGCCCACACGGGAGTGACAGTCTCGATTGCAATTAATGCATGTGAAGATGCTCTCCCACGATGTCGCCTTTTTTTTCTTTCCGTCGTGCACGCTTCTCTCCGTTTCTCGTCTCTTAGCTCCAGTTCTCGGTGTAAATCGCGTCTACAGCGTGAGCGATCGTTGGCGACGTCTTACATAGATAGATAGATAGATATTGTGGATGTAAGTTACTGCTTGTCTGAAGATAGTAGCTTAAGGCGTGGAACTAACAGTCAACTCATTGTCTATCTGTCTCTTATCTCGCTCTCTCCATATATATATATATGTGTGTGTGTGCATGCGCACGCGCGAATGTATGCGTGTGTGTGTGCGCGCTTGTGTGCGTGCGCTTATGTGTGTTGATTTATTTGTATATAGTTCCTTTATTTACCTATCTATTATGTATGTATGAAAGCCAAAGGGAATTCTTTCATACATATTTCTTTAAGTTAATTTTGTGTGCTAAAAATAGCCTGTTTTAATATAAGGTTAATTAATAGTAACATTTATTAATGAAACTGAAGCCAAAGGCAATATTGGTTTTTGATAATTACAAACAATACTTGCTGCGCTGATCAACTCGAGATAGAATATATAGAGAGATATATATGTGTAGACAGATGGATAGATGTAAAACATGTATATATATATATATATATATATATATATATATATAGAGAGAGAGAGAGAGAGAGAGAGATAGAATAGAATGCATATATATATATAGCTAGAAAGATATATATATATATATATATATATATAAAGAGAGAGAAAGATAGAATGTATAATATATATATATATATATATATATATATATATATATATATATATATATATATATATATATAGCTAGAAATATATACATGTATATATAGAGAGAGAGAGAGGGAGATTTTTATCGGTGCAAATTCAAGGTTTCTTTTATTTTGCAACAAGATCAAAAGTAGCAGCACCCATTTCTTACCTAAAGAAGAAATATACATAGAAAACACATTAAAAAAAACTCCAATAGTCTTATTATTGAATTCACAATGCTAAGAGGAAAGCATACAAATTATAGAGCCACTATAAAGATATCAACATTATAAATAACAATAACAAACATAGTAAACGAAATAAAAGCAAATATATAATACTTCTTACAAACTTCCTAACATACACTATCTATAACAATTCATCCAGTCATGATAATATCAAAATAATTACAACATAAACTATTATGGACTAGCAATCAATATGAAAATTACAAGAGTGATATTACCTAGAAGTAAATAATATATAATACAGATATTAAGCTTTAAGCGTGTAGATTACTATAAATTAGAGCTGGGGCTTTTTAACCTCAAATTTCGTGGGAGAATTGAGTACTAATTTATTAATATACATTCCATAGTATAGGTTTTACTTAATTAGCTATTATGTTTCTCTGACTCTTCAAATGTTGAATGTATAACTAATTCTAATTTCTATTTTCTCACCTATACACCATATTAATTTTATCTTATAAATTATCCCTTGTTCTGTCACCCATGAAATAAAAATAATTGTTTGTACGGAAAATAAGGATCTACGTACATCAAATCGTCTTTAAATTAAGTTGCAGCAGAAGAATTATCGTTGAAATGGAAGATTATACATTAATTCAATACTTAAATGCAGCGATCAGTTTTGAGTTCTTCTGTAGTTTATTCATGCCTATCGCATCTACTCCTCCCTAGCTATTGTGATGATGGCCAAACCAAGAGTCATCCATAGAGGCTAGCTTAAATGCTGCCCGATAGGACGGCTTTTAAGCTAGTTTGTAATTTTAAGCTAGCTGTAATTTTGGATAGAAGAGATCCATTTATATCCATTTAACCATTATGGATACAAATTGAACCATGAAAAATGGCTAGTATAACATATCAATATATATTTCTAACCTCGCATAATCTGGCAACGCTGAATCTGAGCTAAACGAAAATCGTTCCCTGTGCCTAACATTTCTAGGGCTTTTGAATGAGCTATGAATCATTGAAATGGGACCAGTGTGAGCGGAGGAATTGCTTGGACACACGCACGCACAGACATACACACACTGTACTTCATATATAAGATATGATCAGAAGCAAATACATCCATAGCAATAATTCTGAAGCCGGTATATATAAAACAAAACTGCCAGAAATGCTCCTCAAAATACATTGAGAAAACCTGCAGAAACTTTTTAAAAATGTATCTCTGAACACAAAAGGGATATCATACACAACAATTTATCAAATAAATTAGTTCTAGATAGAAATAAATTAAACTACAACTTTGATCTAAAAAATATCATACTTATTAAAAGAGAAAGTAATTTATTTAGACGGAAAATTCTCGAGAATGCCGCTATAGAATCTTATCAAAATATAAATCTGCGCCTCGGATTTTTTCAAATGTCTCCATTCCTGAAAGAATTACTCTTTCCCCAAAATAACATACATGGCGATAAAAATATTAAAAAAATTCATAACCTCATGTTATTTAAAATATGTAACACATAAATTAATCCCAAAGTAAAATAATTTAAATATTAATTTGCATAAAAATTTCAAGAACATCTTTTACCCACTTTCGTCTATTAGACATTGAATTATGTCACTTTCCTGCTAACCTGATGAATATTTATCGGCGTTTCTTCAATTCAAAGAATTTGGATAAGTAAAACATTTTTGCTCTTGTCTATAAATACTTGTTACAAAATAAAAATCCTTGCATTTGCTTTGATAAAGTTCCTCAGCGGACAAAACTCGTCAGCTAAGATAATTTTCCTTTTGTCTTAATTCACCACACAGACAACATATTGGTTCTTAATGATGACTGCGAAAGTCGAAAGTACTTGAACGAAAATAACAAAATATGAATTTCACACAGTTTATCCACAACTTCAAGCCGAATACTCAACGGCTTATCCAAAAAAAACAGACAGACCTTGTTGGTTCTTTATATTCGGACATATATATATATATATATATATATATATATATATATATAGATAGATAGATAGATAGATAGATAGATGGCAGATGAACAGATTGAGATAGATATAAAATTTGATTTTTAGACTATATAATGTTCCCCTGTTTTGTGTATATGTTCGTATACTTGTAATTGAATCTCCGTAAAAATTTCTTGACTAAGTAGATAAGAGTGACATTCAGTGACGACACAAATTCATACAAAAATTTATATATATTTATTTTTACTAGGTTTATATATATATATATATATATATATATATATATATATATATATATATATGTGAAAATATATAGAAAATAGGAAGGAACTAGTTAGGTAAATAATCCAAAGTCCCTTAGTATTTTAGTTATTATTTTTTAAAAATAGTGCTCGATACAAAAGTAAAGCATAAATATAATTATTTATTTAAAAATATGATTCCAATTTGCGACATATGTTTCAAAGCAAGAGCCGAAAACTTCAACATATTTATTTGAATTAAATTGAGTTAAAGTAAGCTCTGTTCCATCTTCAAGCGAAATTTTTTTTTTTTTGGAATAACGTATTTCTGAAATTTACGTGTTTTAATAATTGAAATCAAAATTTCCATGGTAACAGCTAGGGCGAATTGTTTAAATTGGGTAGGCATGTGTTGGGTGTTAATAATAAGTATCAGTATAGAGTTACTTTCATAGATGTCAAGTCAGGGAAAGGTGGGGGTGTCTAAAGTTGAAACGGAAGATGTATTAACCCTAGTCTGGTATGCTTGTCTATGGAGATTTATTTATTTATTTTTTTTATGAAAGGGATTTGTGCATATAAAAAAACTGCCGTAACGTTTGTTTTTTGACGTCTTTATAAAGGATTATCTTTTTTGTAGGGTATAGTTTAAATAGTTTAAATATTTATTTGGGCTATGGATTATGAAAGTTATTATATTGTATGCTTGTTCTTAGCTAATTATTCAAACCATGAATTGGAAGATTGGGCTATGGATTAATCAAGTTATTATATTGTATGCTTCTTTTTAGCTAATTATTCAAACCATGAATCTGATGATGTTGACAAAAAACCGTTAACTCATGTCTATTGTTTAATAGATT